TGTGACCTTGTCATCTCTGTCTGAGAGGGGACGCCTCTCATTTTTGCCCCCCTAATCTAAAGAACCCTTCTTCACTACCACAAAACTTTTATCATTTTAGCTGTGAGTTCTGTTCAGCAGAATTTTATTTCTGTTTTCCCTTCCCTTTATGAGAATCCCCCACTGGCATTTTAGATTGGTTGTATGTCAGGTTCAAATAAAATAAAATAATAATAATAAAAGCAAGCTGGCAATTTCTTTCCAATAGAATATGCTGCATATTTCATGAACTAGAAGCCAGAGGAGTTTTGTGATTCCTGAACCAAAACCTTTTCATATCTGAGGACTAAATGGAAGAAATATACAAAGAGCATCTCACAGAAAAAGAGACCTGATCATTTGCTCTCCAACCTAAGGGAAGTGTTCAAGTGATTCATTGACTTAATGCTTGTTTGTTTTAACAGAGGCTCCTATCTTGACACACATTTCATAGACTGAGTTTAGTGCTAGTTTTCATGTATATAAATATACTATTAGAGAAGGGGTTTCGCTTTCCAACTGGATATTCATTTTTCACAGCAGAACATCTGGTCGGCTCCTGCTCTGAACCTGGCAATAACTTCCCTACCTCCAAGTTTTATTTATATTTTCAAGCCACTTCTTTGTTTTGATTTAAGAGGCAATCCAGTCCTGAGGAAGGAGCACTGGACAAAGAGTCCAATAATTCTGGGTTCTGATAGAGCCTCTCGGGTGTAACATAATGTATCTCCCCAAGCCTGATTTGTTTTCCAATCTGTAAATTGGATGAGTTGAATTCAATCAATCAAGTAGTCATTTTATTTTCCTGAAAATAGCTGTTGAAAAGTACAATGGCATGCAGATTTAAGCATGTGTATCACAATTCCCTTCACAAAGAGGAAAAACGTTCAAGAAAATATTTCCAGCATGCTAAACAAAACTAAGCTTTTGCCTGAAATGCTAAAATATCCCTCTTACTCTGTACCCCCTGGTTAGGGAGAAAAAGATTATTAGGATACTTAAGGCTCAGGATATCAGTGAGAAACAAAAAACATTTTATTATCAAAGGGAAGAATTTTTATCTCATTTAAAGGTAATATTAATAGCTAAATAACATTATATGCTAGGTACTATTCTAAGCACCTTGTGTTAAGTCCTATAATCCCCAGAGCAATCTTTTGTGGCAGGCACTCTTATTATAAAGAAAACTGAAACACAGAGAATTAAATAAGTTGGTCAGGGCCACACAGCTGGCAGGGCTGAGGAAGCTGAGGTCTGAACCCAGGCAGTTTACCACCCAAGTCCAGAGTTCTAATCACCTGTTACTCCACTGTTCCCCATTAAATTTTACAGCCAACAAGGGAGATAACTGAGATCACCTCATCATGCAGAGACAGCATAACACACTGAGTAGGTCAGATCTTGGAATCAGAATGCTTATATTCAAGTCCTAGTTCTATAGCTTCCTAGGTGAGTGACCTTGGGCCAGTTACCAACTCCCTCTGTTCCCCAGTTTCCTTATCAATCAGATGGAAGAGAATACAAATATCCACTTTAATTTATTAAACAATAAATTAATATATGCACACTGCTTAAAAGAGTATGTGGCTATTAATAATTATTCCATTAAAGTTAATTATTCTTGTTTTTATTAATAAGAGAAGTGATTTGCCAAACATAACAAAGTCAGAAAGTACCAGAATTCAACCCTGGCCTTCCAATTCCAAATGCCATCCTCTTTCCATAACAGAATTCCATCCTCTCTGTTGCTAAAAGTTACCCTTCTCCTGAAATTCTGCTATGTGCTAAAGCATCCAACAAGACATTTTTTCAATATAAAATTGCTCAAAGACTCACAAAATAGATAATATTGTCCCTGTTTTGCAATTGATGAAACTGAGGTTCTGAGAGTGATTTATCCTCAATCACGTGAACCTTCTTTATAACAGTTAGCCCTAAATAACATTTAAAGTTCCTGACAGCAGCCTTCAATTTACGCAATTTTTAAAAGTGCCATCTAAAAGACATAAACTGTGATTTTCTCGCTTTGTTAGCTTTATTAGTTTGAGAGAAGGATTAAATCCCAGCAAAAACAAAATGTTTGACTTGAGTGAATTATCAAAATGAAATGCTGCCTCAATTAGATTCTTCCTTTGCCTGCAGGGTGGCTCCAGGCATCCAAAATCCACCAGCTGCAATTTGTAAGATGAGTACTATCAGGTACCATGCCAAACACCCACCCATTTCAGAAAAACTACTTTGGAGGGCAAAGAGTAGTGAAGCAGCATATTCCTCTTTGCTTTGGGAGAAGAAAATGAACAATAAGTGATACCATCTCTTCCTGGCAGCCTCACACAATGGTATGTCTTGCAAATGAAACATACTGTGAAACAGCTTGAGAGATGAGCTTCATCAACAATAAGTAATTTTTATTCAGATTTTATTGTTGAATACAATGAACATGATTAAATGTTTCAGATATGCCTATTCAGACCTTAAGCAAACCACCAAAAAAAAAAAAAAAACCCCTACTAAAAAAAAATCATCTTCTAAATCTGTTTTAGGAAGAGCTTTAATTGCCAACTTGATGTGTAGAACTGAATTCCCACTGTTGATAGCGGCACTGTTCCCAAGAAGATAGTAATACATTGCACTTCCCACCTTGGCCTATTCTATCATCCCTTCGGATCCTTTCAGCGTTGCCAAATAGTTACAATGTCAGTCTTTCAAATCACCGCATTTTGAACTTCCTAAACCTTTACGAGGGCCTCAGTGTATGAAAAAGAACAATAGCGCTTCAAAAGCCACGTCTGCGAGTTCTTCAATACTCCATTTGAATGCTGGGGTTTCAATCAAGGACATCAGCAGACAATTTCTGATTGCTTAGAAGTTGACTTTTATACGGCTTTGATTAGGTCGCCCTTCTCAATAGGAAATCAAGAAAATCCTTGATCCCTTTTAGATTCCAGAATTGTCACCAAGCCTTGTCAGGATAGGAAGTGAAAGAGATGGGGTGGGGTGGAAGGGTGGAAGGGTGGGGCGTTCCAATCCCAGCCAACCTCCCCCCTCTCCCATCTATCTTCATGGCTGCGCAATTCAGGGTTCCATCCAGAATCACTCATCGCTGAGATAATAAAAACAATGGGTGCTAATTCAGGGGGTGGGAATGGTTTATAATGTTATGGATTTCTCGAAGACCTATAATTGGCGCATAAATGTACAAACGTGAACAGGATAATTAGGGGGTTCTGAATGTAAGCTACCTTTAATTTGTATGATTACTTAAAAACATGTTAAGTGTTATGAAGTGTCAGCGGAAGCCCAACAAGGCCTTTATTCAAAACCATAAACATTGTGAAAGTGTGTCGAAAGGGCCAGCAGGAGAGGAGAGGAGGGAGGGACAAGCGACGAAGGATCCTCGCTCTGGGGCCCCAGCGACTCGCCGAGAGCCGCATTGTAGCTTCCATCTCCGAGGACCCACCCGTCCGCCCCACTCCGGGGCAGCAAAAGACGCGCTCGCTCCCCCAAGCTTTCCACTGGCCTCTGTTTCTAAAGGAGCTAAGCCCAGGCGTGCGCCGGTATCCAAATACACCCTCAGGCACGGGCCCACGCGGGCACGCACCCCACGCTCCCGACACACGACGCAGCGCACAGATGCCCGCGCCGCGGCGCTCTCCGCTCCACCCGCCCGCCGCCGCCGCCGCTGCCGAGCGTCCAGCGAGAGCCAGACCGCGGCCGCCAAGCTCCCTGGGCCTCCCCACCCCCACCCCATTCCTTTAGACTCTCCCGTCCAAGCGGAAGTGCCCAGGCAGACCCCCAACAATGAAGACTTGTGTGATGCAGTTGGGGGCGGAGGGGAGTTTTCAGGGAGTGAAACACACAGTCCGGCGGGTCCGGGAGGGAGCTAAGAAGAAGCTAAGAAGGAGCTAAGTGGCAGCAGCTAAAAGAGTGAGCTTTCCCTGGCGCAACGCCCCCGCGCCCCGCGCCCTCCCGGCCCCGTCCGCGGGGGAATAAAAGCGCTTTAAAAAGTGCACAGAACAGACGCGCCCTCCCACCAGGGGTCACAATAATACTTCGCGGGACGAAGGCAGCCGGAGGAGAGTCCCGGCTGCAGCAACCACCGACGTTTTGAAATTTACTTTGTACACTCATCCAGTGGCCCCTTTCCGACGCCGCGACACAACCTCCCCCACCTCTAACTCCCTGATTCCAGATTTTTCTCCTTTCAGGGCTTCTTTAGGAGCCAAACCACAGGGATTTTAAAGTTTCCGGGGGATGGACTGAGCTCTGCATCCGAAGTAGAGCGTCTCGTCCGGGGCAGGGAGAAGCTAGAGAGGTAGGCGGGGGGCGGGGGGATGGCCTGTCGGGGTAGCAGAGTGACTAGGGGGTGGAATGGAGGTGGGGGCGCGGCAGAGAGCTGAATCGATGGAGGACCCGCGGAAGTGCCAGGGTCGGAGGAGACGCGGGGTGTCATTCTGATGGTGCCTACGAAAGGACAGGGGTTACTGAGATAGTGAGATAGATATGATTTTTCCACAAGTCGGGGCAGAACCGCAGCGCTGCCGAGGTGTAGGGAAGTGAAAAACGGGCCGGGCCGGGAAAGCCGCGAGTGAGGCAGGGGGCAGGCTCAGGAGTAGGGAGTAGCTCCTAGAGTGGGAGAAGGAAGGGACATGGATGAGTAGAGCCGAAAGCCCAGGAGGAAGGAGGTCCTGAAGAAAGACAAGTGTTTGGGGTGAGCAGGTCTGAAGAGAGGACCGCGCGCGGTCAGAAGTAAAGAGATCCGGGGTTATGGAGGATCCCAACAAGGAAGGCGCAGAGGTCGTCCCCTTTCCTCCAGCAAGTGGAGGAAAACTGCAGTCACCGTCCCCGCGGCACCCCTAGCCAAACTCCTGAGAGAGGGGCTCCAGGAGTCTTCCTCCGCGCCTGGGGGCTCCGGGTGTCCGGGCGCCGTGTCCCCAACGGGCACCTGCCAGCGCTGAACTCCTGTCCCCGCCACGCCTCACCTCGGCTCGCCGCGAGCATCCTCCTCCGCTGCCGCAGCCGCCCGGGAAGCGGCTCCCCATGCCCGGCGGGCGGCGGCACTCAAGCGCGCTCTCCAGCCCGGGGAAGCCCGGGCGATCGCGGAGCTGGGTCCATCCTCCCCGAGAGCCAAGGACCACGCGTCAGAGTAGGGGGAGGAGACCGCCCGGCGTGCAGACCCGCCCCCTCCCGTAGCCCCCGTCCCACCCACCCTCACACCCGCCGGGGCCCTATGGCGCTGATCACCTGCTGGCTCCCCGGCCGCTGCCTCCTGGCCTCCCGCCGTGCGCCCCTCGCCCGGGCCTCGCGGCTCTAGCTCCCGCTCCCGCTCCCGCCCGGGCGCTGTCTGCGCCGCCGAGCGCGCTCCGAGAGCCTAGCCGAGTCGCGGTGGCGAGGAGGAGGAACAGCGAGCCAGCGAGCGAGCGGGGGCGCCGCGGTTCGCAGTCGCCCCTTAGAGCCCTTGCGCTAACTGCCCATCTCGGCTCCACGGCGATGGAGAGCTAAGCAGCGAGCAAGGGGTCCCCGCCCCGGCTGTGCGAGCCGAGAGGGTGTAAGGAGAGAAGGAGGAAAAGCTACCAGACTCGGGTTTCCCAAAGTGTCCCGTGTTTTTTATCACCATCACCCCAGCCTGACCTCCCTCCTTTTTCTCTAGAGCCTACTCTTTTATCCAAACCTCCCAGCTAACGCACACCCAACTATCAGGAGTGCCAGAGGGCGAAAACTAAAACGGAGGTCCTGCGAGGGCGTGTTGCCCCCACGCCCCTTGGCAGGAGGGGGCGCTAGCTCCCAGCGGCCAAACCTGATTTGGCAGCTCTAGTCCTCGCAGAGGCTTACCCGGGTAAACTGGGCGGAGGCTGGGGAGGGACTGCATCTACCAGGTTTTCAGTAGTCCTGGGAGGGACTCTTGCGCCCGAGAGCGTGCAGTTAAACCCTAACTCTTCGCCTTCCTCTCCACCCTCCCCACTCCCTTCCTTTGAATGTCCGGGAGAGGACAAGCCCCAGGTTAAAACAGGAGCAGAAGGCCCTCGCTCCTGACTTCCGGCCCCAGTTTACAAAGATCCAATAAATAGCGGAAAGCATTGTGCCGATCTAGAAATTTTCCTACCCTGAGACTAAATTCAACACCGGTAAATGCCTGTTAAGGTATACTGGCCTCCAGAGGCCAAAATGCCAGGTGTGAGAGGGGGGAAAAAATCGAATCAACGGCTGCCCCATTGGAGCAGGAAGCAGAAAAAAAGAGATAGGCGACAGTTCCTTAAAAAGTTTATTTTTATCCTTTTTAGGGGCCACATTCCTGTCCTCCAGCTGCGTAATAATAAAGCTAATGTGGTGGATTTGAGTTTTGTTTTTTTTTCCCCTCATAGCTTCTGTCACTCACCCATGAAAATTTAATGAAGCATCTAGAGTTATTACTTCCAGAGTCAATGGGCTAAAAATATTTAGCCTAATGCACTCCTTGTGGAGCCAATAGGTCCATGGCTGGTACACACAAAGTCATGGAGAGACCCTCCCTTTCTCCACAAAATTCACGACCCATTAAACTTATTCCGTAATAACAGCTTCTGTACAAATGGAGGCACCAGCAAACGGAGGCTGTCATGCACCTCCTGAAAAGATAGCAATTTACACAGAAACAAGAAAAATGTGTGAGGTCACTGGCAGGATGCAATCCTGGGAGAAGAGTTGATCAGAGGAAACTCCCAACAAGGTGGGAGGGAGGTACCCTTCCTCCCCCTTAATAGACTTTTTCTGTTTACTTCTGGATGTGGCTAGTGAATCTAATGGTGGGGACCGGAAAACTGGCTCAAGTCTCTCTAACTTTTCCAAAGTTTTAGGCAGTGGCCAGAGTTGCCAACAAACAATTGAGATTCGTTTAGTAGAAAGTTCAGGCTCACCAGGCAACTCTGTTAAGACTAATAAATCCTTTCGGTTTTCTCATCTATAAAGACCGAACTGAGGAATCTGAATTCAGTACAAAGAAAATGGGACATTGACAAATCAAGAAGACTTGGTTGTCATAAGAAGAAAGAGTGCAGAAAACTATTGTGTGCTTCAGGTGGCTGGCGTATATGAAACCTTAGGTAATCAAACATAAGTCTAACTCTTTATTGATTCTACCAAAAATGTTCTAAAGTTTCTCACTGCTTTAGAGGACAGCTGGGGAACATCAAAACCACTTACTTACATTTTAAGACCCTGCATATGAGAGTTGTTGCTTTCCCCACACCTCTTCCACCTTGTTGTGTTTTTAATTGACATTATGATTACAGAATTGAAGGAACTGTGAGACACTGAGTTGGCAGAGTAATAGAAATGGAAGAGGCTCATGTAAAACTCTATCTCTATTCAGCGTTGGACAGGGTCCACCATGAAACTGAGCAAATTCCCATTAAATCCAACAGGGGCAACAAGCTGCAGCTGTTCCCAACTCCGGGCTGAAAAAGAGCATAATATGTAGATTCTAACTGCATACAGCTGCCCAACGACCTAATAGTCTACTGGTTTAAGTCAAACCAAATTTTAAAGTACTATTTTAATTTATTATGCTAAATATGTCAAGAAACTCATCTAAATTTTAGGGTGTTGTTTCTTTTCTCATTTGAATAACAATGTCATTTGTATTAAGTATGGCATAAGGAAAAAATCAATATGCATTCCTTTATCATCTACTCTGAGAAACAACAAGGTAATAAGAAAAGCAAAGATATGCAAAGTCTGTCCAGAAAAAGTCCGGCATTGTTAATTAAACGAGAATGGTTTGCACCACATCGATGTAAACTGGCAGCCAAGTGGCAGGCGAGTGGACTGGAATGCGCATGCACGAACAGTGATGACATCACTGTACTAGTCAGTGGGGGCAGTAGACACCACTGAGTGAGCACATGTACTGTGTGGCCATCACATTCAAAATGACTGAGTAGAGCAATGAATTTGCATCAAATCTTGCTTTAAGGTTGAACATCCTCCACAAAAACTATTCACATGATTCAGAAGCCCGCAGCTCTGGACAGCTGGTGATTGGCAGCTTCATCACGACAATGCGCCTGGTCATGCATCACATCTCTTGAAGAGATTCTTGGGGAAACATCAAATTGGCAAGGTGGTTCAGTCAGAAAACAGACCTTGCATGTATTGTTTATTATGTTCCAGGCATTTTCTGTGTATTTACATACCTTAACTTATGTAACCTTCACACTAGCCCACTGTATTGCTGTGTACTGGATAAAATACGGACTGGAATCTGATGGGCCTGAGTCATCTTTGACAAGTTGCTTACCTCTCTGAACTTCAAAATTCTCAATTCCTCAATGGTCATAACAGCTTGGTAAGACATCTGCTTCATGAGATTGGAGTGAGCCTTAAATGGCATAATGCATTGGACATGTCAAGAACAGGATAAGTCACATTTAAAACATCTCTTACCAGAATAATTCCAAACTAGTTCATTGTAAATCAACAACAACATTTTCAGAGTCCATTCTATATCTCAGGCACTGTGCTATGCATTGGGAATAATGATGACAAATCAGAAACAGATCCTGCCTTTGAGAAGCTCAGTCAATTGAATAAAAAACATGGACATGAGTAGGATGCAGATGAGCAAAAAAGAGTTTTATTGAAGGTCACATAATTCATCCCTGTGCACATGATTCTTAGGACACTCAGAGGGGCAACCTATTTCAGTGTTGTTTGAGGCTGACGCATGATTGAATGCAAAACCAAATGTCAGAAATCATAAATCCAACTAGTAATAACTCCTCTTCCAAAGAAAGGAATGCAAAATAGCTCATTTGGCATATTCTATATTATTTAAAATTCTGTTTCTTTCTATAATTGTTTGAAATATACTTCTCATTGGATGGAGCATAATAAAATGATTTTGTGCTGTAAGATCTCAGGGTTTCAAACATAAATTACTACATGGCCACTATTAAATTGCTTATAGTGCTTGTATATGCCAGGAATATGATCATGTTTCTATACACACAAGGCTCTCAAATTAATAAAATTTTTAATAATGGTCAGTAGGGATGTTTCTGCCAAATTTATTAGAGCATGTGTTCAAAGTATACTAACAATAGAATGCACAAATAGCAAAAGTTAATACTAAATGTACGTAATTCTCTCACATAGTCCCTTTCATTCAAGTTCATATTCAAACTCAGATTATAGTACCTTATTCAAAAAATGTTTACTGATTGCTTACTCTGTGCCAGACACAATGTTAGGCATTAGCAGAGGAAAAAAAGAAAAATAAAAAATAACTTAAACAACTCATAGCCATGTGAAGGAAACCCCCAACACATTGCATTGTGACAAATGCTATGATAGTGCTAAGTACAGGATGGTCCAGGCACATCAAACAGGGGTGTTTAACCCAGAGTCAGATGCTAAAACGAGTTCATAAAGGAAGAAATGTCATCTTGAAAGATAACGAGTAACCAGATGAGGAAGGGAAGGATATTTCAGGCAAAGAAAAGTGAATGTGTGAAGGTGTAGAAGAGATTCTTCTCTGTGGGTGGCTGTAGTTGACTATAGGAAAAAATATGAATAAATTGTAAATGTCCTGGCTTGCCATGTTTAGTCCTCTGGAATTAGTGTAAAAGTAAGAGGTCTACTTAAAAAAAAAAAAAAAAAGAAAGGGAAAATATTTTATAAACCGTACATTAACCATATTTCAGATACTTTTCTTGTATGTCCTAGACACAAGTATTGGGTTGACCAAAAAGTCTGTTATGATTTTTCTGTAAAATAAAAGACACATTTTTCATTTTCACCAGTAACTTTATTGATTTGGATAGGTTGAGTATGTTGGCTATCTCCTGCTATTGGCTTCTAATGGGTAGAGGCCCCGGGTGCTGCTAAACATCTCCCAATGTGCAAGACAGCCCCACAGCCAAGAATTATTTGACCAAAATGTCAGTAGTACCAAGAAACTTCACAAACCACTTTTGACACGTTCAATCAGTCACAGCACCTTCTCCACACTCTGCAGAAATCTTTTTTTTGCATTTCAGTTGTGTTTCTACCTTTTTGAAATAATAAAGCATAACACACCAAAAATGTTGTGCATTTTCATCCATATTCAATATTAAAATAGCGACACAAAAATTCACCAATTGTGATAAGTTTTTT